CATTGCTTGGTGTTATTTCACTTGGGGGATGTGGTGGTGAGACAATTGGCGTAGCATTATTGGCTTAAACTATGTTACTATGTATTGCCGGATATATCTGTTCCAAAATATTTAAATACAAAAAAATGTCGTTTTAGTGCAAATGTTTGAAAATGAGCTACAGAGAAAAAAGCCAACTGTACCAGCAGGAGGCCGGGATAACCTGGTTGGTAGGGCATTGGGCCCATGTCCAAGAGGTCGTGGGTTTGATCCTCGCCTGCCGAAGATTCCCCGTGTAGTAAATGGTGACTGATGAACGTTAAATCTGTCGAGTCGCAAAGTCCTCCATGTTCCCATAACAAATTAATACCTCTGGGGGTGCTGCTCCAGGAGTTTCCTTGTCTTCTGGATTGGTTAAAAGTTACAAGACTACGGAGTTGAACATTAATAGTCGTAAACCCAAAATTGCGTCGGCTGTTCAACGACGGATATAAAATATGATATAAGAACTATACTAACAAGTTATAGTTGGCAAAATTTTCAAACAAAATTGTTAGTGATAAAAGTTTTGACTAAAAGTAAAATTTGGCAATATTCTGGATTACCAGCAAATGAAAAAAAATTAAAACGAAAACAATATGTAAAATTGATCGTTATAAAAATATGTAATTTAGTTATATGGGAAAATATCACGATAAATCATGGAATATCGACATTTTCGGTGATTTATCGTGACATTATCATCCAGGGAATACTGGTGACCCGAAGTGCGTGTTCGTATCTGCGTCAATAAGAAAGAAATCACTTGATAGAGATGGCTTGATCACGATTGATGGCAACACAACTCAAACGATAGCATGACCCGTGATTTGTGGTCTAGAGGAAACCCTATGATTGTGAATGAAAAGGTGAAGGTAAGGGGAAATAAACAAATAACCGCATCTGAAATACGCTAAAAAAATTCATAATCGCAAATCGGGCTCCGTAATTTATTTACAATTTTACTCATTTGGCTTCATGTTGAATGTCATATTTTTAGTGCTTACTGTATACCCGAATTTCGGTATCCAGATATATGCACACACGAATTCTTTATTTTATTATGTGTCTAGATTATGCATTGTAGGTTTTGGTAAATTTAAATGTAAGTCCTAAATAGAAAGTTTAGCTTTAAAAATACCTTAATTATTTATTTTTTTAAAAATAATTTTTCTGCAAATATGTCGGAGTGGCTCCTATCTGGTTTGAAGAATGTTCATAAGTATGTTAAACATACCAATATGTCTTCTGGATAAGAAATGGTAGAGATTGTGATGCAAATACTATCACTCATCACCGATCCATTTTGAAAGTAAATTATAACGTGATTTGATGAAAGAAAATGTCTCGTTGCTGCATTATTATCAGAAAAACTATGATCTTTTTTAAAACTAAAACATTATGTTCAAATAGTTCCAAATTTTGAAACCTTGGTTGCTTTTAATTATGTTCTTTCCTATTTTAGTCGTATTAAACTTCCATAGGTATCTTCGTTTTGCTTTTCACAACGCAGAGATTCTTGTCGGTTGTTGAAACTCTAGCACATTGGTTCTCAACGGGGGGGCTCAACTATGCTGAGGGGCGGTGAACTTATTTTGGGCAGTAGGGGGGTGTTGAGCATGTTTTGTCTTTTAATTTTAAAACTTACAAATAAAATTATTGAATTAAGATTAATTTAATAAAAAAAATTCATAATAAAGAAAAAAAGATTAAATTAATATAATAAATAAAGATTATCCTATACACTATTTGAAACAGCAATAAAACGAACTTATACGACACCTATTCTTCGATCCGAACCAACACAGCTCAGCGCATGAATCAGTAGTTTTTGCCTCTGACTCATTCAAGCCATTTGGTGGAAATTGCAGTACATGCGCTTTCAGTATGAATGTTTGATTGGACCCGTGTTTCTTATAATGGTTTTCGTTAGCTTTCTTGCAGTTTTTTCCCCCAGTTTCGATTAGATCTCATAGTTTATTTGGCCAGATACGTACGCGAATTAGTTCTTTATAGTATCATAAATTATTTATTAATTTTGAGAAATAGTTGATTTTCTTTCAACGTTTGTAATTTGCTGACACCAACAATGTCGGTTGACAAAAAGAAGTGTCATCAATACAGTGTCACGCACTTGAAATTGGGATTTGTTCAATTAATGTTGAACTTCCAATTACCTATGCGTTTACTTTGTAATAAAGTTTTATCGAATGAGGTAAGGAAATATTACCGTTAGCAAGAGCAGCTGCAAAAAACTAGATATAGATTTGTCATTTTTGACGAACGTCTTTTTTCACGTTTCTGAAGGCACCTTCGGTCTCAGGGTTACTAGTAACGTCATCACAAAAATGCGACGATGGTTTGATCGCTTCTTGTAATATATCAAAATTTATTGCTAAATCTGGGAAAGTTGAAACAATCGGAGTAGAGTTGATACTGCCGGTAGTCAAGGAAGTTTTAGAAACAGTTTTACATCATCCAATGTAATAAAAAACTATCCCATAAGCAACGATTCAGTGCGGCGACGAAATGATGAGATGGGTGAAGACGTTGAAATTTCTTTATGCAAACTTTTGATGTCCAACGAATTTTCCCTTCAAGTTGATGAATCTACCTTGCCAGGTAATGCAGGCTTTACTGTAGGCATAGGTCCGGTTTGTAAAAGAAGGGAAAATTATTCAAGATATGCTTTTTGCAGGAAGCTTGATTGTAGATATCAAAGGTAAATCTATTTTTAGTACTGTCAAAGATTATTTTAAAGAGAAAAACATTCCTCTTGCGAATATTATGTCCATTGCCACTGATAGGCTCCTGCAATGGTGGGTCGACATCATGATTTTATCGCCCTTTTGGAAAGGGAGGTACCAGATATTTTAGCTGTTCACTGCGTGATTCACAGACAGTATTTAGTAAGAAAAAATCTCAGAGACCGTTTGCATCAATCATTGCAATATGCCGTATCTGCTGTGAACAAAATTCACAGTAATGCTCTCTAAGATCGATTATTTAGACAACTGAGTAAGAAAAACGATGAAGAATTCAATCGCTTGCAATATACACCGAGATTCACTGACTTTCCAAAAGCTTCTGTTTCAATAGGTATTGGAATCTTTTCGACTCTGTGCTTGAGTTCCCCGAAAACAGAAATGTAGCTCTAAGAGACAGATTGCTAGAATTTAAGAAAGACTTTGGCTGATTTATCTGTAAAATTTAATGGCATTAATTTACAACTTCAAGGCGACGAGCTCAATTCGATCCCTACAAAATAAATTATTTTTGCCCTTCTAAAAAAACTGATTTTGTTTTAGCAGAATTTTGGTTGGAATGAGTTCAGCCATGCAGGCAAAATTCTCTCTGATGATGCACATGCACAAGAATAATGTCAACACCTTGACTCTTTACACATGAACTTTTCTGACCATTTTAAAGATGTTTTGTTCCCTAGAAGTCCCTCAATGGGTTTATGAATCTTTTTGTAAATATTGAAACAGCAGAGGTTCAGATTTACGAGGAATTGGTCGAACTTTCAACTAATGAAATTTTGAAATGGTGATCGTCTCACAGAATTTTTATTTAACACTAAAAAGACTGAAATACCTATATTGCTATATAAAAGCAGTCAATACCTATACCTATATAAAAGCAGTCAAAATGACTGCATAGAATAACTAATGAATAAAGAAAGAATAACTAATGTATAAAGAAATTTGCTTGAAATAAAATTTAATATTTTTGTTAATATTTTCAGTTATATAACAAGTTATTTGTAAATATTAACAATAAAAAAATTATATGTTGTACAAAAAGTCACAAATTTCTAAGAAATTGTGTTATCATTGTTGTTCTAATTGAAATTAAAAAGCAGTCAAAATGACTTCCATGGGCAATCTAGTGTTAAAGTTAACAGTCGTCTCTATCTTGGACTGTAGACTATCGTTAAAAATTTTTTAATTGCCTTCCCTGCCTCCTAACTTGTCGAATGTGGATTCAGTGCTGCTACGGATCCTGTCACAAAAAGAAGAAATCGACTCGAAATTGTGCAAACGTGGGTATTTTCATCTTCATCTCACTATAAGTATTGAACCGAGCGTTAAGGAATTGGTTCTGAACCATTAAGTACAATCATCCCACTAACATAGTTACTTGAATGTTTCGTTGATACTACTTTTTAGTGTAACAAAATTATTTTGGGTGTTATTTTAATTATCTAATTTAGAATAAATTATTCTTTTTTAGCATAGGTTTCTTAGTTGTATTGTTTTTTTCATTAAACGTATTTATTTTGATTATAACAAATAGACGGCGATTACCTGCCGTGAGAAAATTATCGAGTTAGTTTATTCTTTTTTAAAAAACCAAACAAATTCAAAGCGTAAAAAAATTGCTTAAAAAATTTGCCTCTTATAATTCAGCACACATCCCTCCATCCCCATGCTCAAAATAACAGGATTTTTATAAAGGGGGGGGGGTTGAAATATTTTTTGCTCCTTAAGGGGGCGGCAACGTTAAAAAGGTTAAAAACCTACGCTCTAGCACAAGAATGTTATTCATTGTTACATAGTACAGCGCAGAATCATTTTTGCTCAGCAAATTTTGGCAAACCTTCAACAACAATCAAAAGATAATCAGATGTTCTACCAACTTAAAATGTTTGACCAAATTCTTTTTCTTTCGAAATTTAATGCTTTTTCTAATAGTGATGCAGCAAACCGCCAAAATTTTTTACTCAAATTTATTATTTACGTTCAAAATGGGTTACTTAAATAGACATTCTGTTAATACAGAATACACTTTTCAAAAACTTTATAATACACTTTTTATATCTCTACGAATTTTGGTCAGGTGAAAGAACAAATCTGCATGATTCAGTTATGCGTCTTTCTAAATTTGAAATGTTTCAGCAGTCTTAACATGCAGAATATTTTAGGACATCTGCAAAAAGAAGAAAGAACGTAGAAAGGGGTAATAGAAAAGACATCCTATTAGAGATCCATAACTGTATACCTTTTGACGGTAATGTAAGTTTACATTATCAACAATACACATAATTTTTAATTGACTATGTATTAAGTTAAATAGTATTGTAATTATATATATCTTCCCTAAGTTTAGTCAACATGGGTATATTAAATTCTGTTACAATATCAATTGACTTTTTATCAGTTGCACAGCCAGGTGGTACATTGCTGCATATGCAGAGTCCTGTGGAGAACTCCCCTTTGCATTCTACTCTAATGGTTCTTTTTATGGTCTTTTTTACACAAGCCGGATACAAAGCGGCGACCGTAGCCATTAGATCGCAATCTGGGTACGTTGGAGATTCTTCTTTGCGACAGAAATCTATAGTTGCTGAAGAAGTACGCTTAATGAAATAAGCAGTCTTAGTTTGTTTGTTTAATAACTTTTCAAAGTCAGTCTGAAATAAAGGAATATATAATTATTAACTTATATTTTCAAGTAACTCTTATAACTTCGCTACCTTTGTTATTTAAAAAAAATAATGCATATTAATTTAACTACTTTTTAAATTATTTTTTTATCGAAAAATTTCTTCGAACAAAATAAAAGTCTTAAAGTTTTCTTGAAATACTTTTTGATTCGTGTCATTAGTTTTATCTAAAAATGCATAAACTAAAATAATAATAATAAAAATAATAATAATAAAAATAATAATAATAAAAATAATAATAATAAAAATAATAAAATAATAATAAAATAATAATAATAATAAAATAATCTTCGAATAAAATTTTTGGCTGCTTTTTTAACTAAATTATTGGAATAAAATTTTTTACGTTGCAGCCATGCTGCTCCTTCATTTATAAGATCAAGAATTTGAACCCACTAAAAATTAGACATATTTATTTAGAAATAATTCATTTTTGAGTCAAATAGTTATTGGTATAAATTTATTAGCATATCTATCTTAAGTACGCCCTTACCATATCCCTGAAACTATTTTCTGTTTATTGTAGATTTTCGTATATAACCGGTTAATTTAATCAGTAGAAAACTGTAATAATATAAACTATTATTGTTAGCGACTGACAAAATTGTCTAACAAGTATTTAGGAGTTATCTAAATTTTTTTAAGGAGTCGGGGGGGGGGAAGCTATCAAGAACGGATTTATGTGAGGGCATTTGGAGTACAAATTTGAACTCCAATCTTTAAGATGTTATTATTTATTACATGCTATTATAATAACTATTATTAAGACGTTAACATCTAAGTTACAAATATCATCCCCTGGATCGTTTGAATGGAAATTTTTTCTTTATTAAAGTTATTACTATGTAAATGAGATAAATTTGTTTATGGAATTCTTCGACTATATTTTTATTCTTATAATAGTTTTGACTTTTTAATTACTGAAAGAATCTTGGTTGCTAATAACGGAGCTTATAATAATGTTGAATATGTTTTAAAAACTTTGATATTGTGAAAATTCTTGACAATTGTATAAAAAACAAAAAAAAAATATTCTTAGTTCTATTGTTGCGTAATCGAATTGATGAATGTAACTTTTTGTATTAATATAATTCATAGTTATATGAACTTATATTTTTTAAATTGAAGTATTCTTTTTAATTTATTATTTCCTTTTTATTAAGAGCTGAATAAAATGAAATGCTCTTTGTCACGTGACATAGTTAGTAGGAAACAAATTTATTCGAATTTGCAAAGAACTCACCTGATTTGTTTCTTCAAGCGAAAATATTGAAAATAAGGGATAGAGAAATTTTTTATTTCAAGTAATAATGTGAAACAAAATTTTAAGGGAAATAACAAATGAGTAAAATAAGAACATTTTTATAAAACCAAATCCTATAACAAGCCTAATCCTATAACTATGCCTGCAACAAGCCTGAAGTTGAAAAAAAATTTGCAAGGACAATAATATAAATTTGATACAGCAGAAAATAAAAACGTTATTTTAAATTCATTGCTTCCATTATTACCAAAAGTGCATAGATTAATGAAATAATCAGTTGTAAATAAAAAGAAAGCGATTTCCATTTAAATTGACATTTTCGTTTTCGAACATCTTAAAAGTAATTAAAAAAAGCACGTTATAAATTTTTTTTTTGTTTAATACTTTATGGTACGAAAAGTGCCACAAATATATATTTTCTGAAACAAAAGTTTAAAATTTGGAAATTATAAAACGATTTCGGAAACGCGCTATTCCATATAATCGCTTTCTCATAACTTTGTCCTTTCTCTCAATTACAATTTAAAGGAAATACGACAAATTAAATCCTTTTTATACTACAAAAATTCTTTTATAGTGTAATAGTTAAAATGTTTTGCGATGAAACCATATTCTCGATTTTTAGGCTTAACACTACACCTCTAAATGTAAAATTATTAATTGAACGATTTATTTAGTATTTGAGTGGCAACGATATAAGCAATTTGTGGCTCACATTCAATAACATCGTCATCGTCGTAAAGTTCTGAAAAGAAAAAAATTTAGAAGCGTAATAACCTATATTAAGTAAAATCACTGCTCTGGATGCGTTTTAATGTAGGTATCTTTTATATTTATATTAAGTGTTTTTTTATTGCTCAAATACCAAATATTTTTTTGCGTTTTAGAACCACTGTGTAAACAGGTCATGGGCGCAAGAAGAACTTAACAGATCAACAAATCCCATAAAAGTGAAAAGTAATTAATTAGAGTCAGCAATATAACACAAGTAAGTGATGATCTATTAGTTATAGATTCAATAAAGACGCAGATATCGCCACTAATATAACTAAATAAAATGCTTAATATTTTCATTGCATTTAGCAAACGATGAAGAAATGGTTTAAATTTTTATTGGTATTGTAGGATTTTCGTTACCGACAATGTCAACCTTTATCTATCAAAAGGTAATTGAGTTAACATGTTCTATATACTAGTAAAAAGGAATTTAATAATTGTAGTTGTAGTTACGCTACATTAATATTTACAGTATTACCAGAGCATAGAATAATATATGAGAGTGCATAGTATTTTGTATTTTGTTGTAAAGAAAACTATGAAGAGTTCATCTGCGAGTTTATAAAATGAAGGGGAAAAATGGTTAATAAAGAATCGTTTGCTTTTGGAACTTAAATTATATAGAATCGAATGTACTGATCATTTGTTGAAACTTTGCAAATTTATAAGTCAAAGTTTTTTAAGGAAAGAAATACATAGTTTGACATATTAGGCAAAAGATTGCAAAGCTGTTTCATACGAACGCAGTAAATAAGAAAACACTCACTTTCATGAAAAATTGTCATTTTCGTTAAATGTACATAAAAACGAGATCAAATTATACCGCTTTTCAATTTATATGCCTGTTCTGATTTTTCGGAAGCTCAGATAGTCGATTGTACAATCTTTGATTCAGGTTCTTTTCATATGACTGTGCAGTACTGACGCAGTAACAGTGTTTTAAAAATTATTTCAACAGAAATTAGTTGGCGAATAAATTAGATTTTTTTCATGCTTCAATTATTTTTATTTCGAGTTATTGAGTTCGAATGATAGCGAACATCTGAATTTTCTTATACATTTTTTATGTTTTTTTTAAAATTCTTATCCGAGATAAAGTCGATTTTTTTATCACCTGGACTGAGAGTATTCTTTTATTTTATTTTTAAATATGTGTATTAAAAAATTATGTGTATTAAATTACTCAAACACTAAAAATACATATTTTTTCACATAATATTTTACATACGTGTATTAAACTACTTAAACACTAAAAATACATACTCTTTCAGATAATATTTTGCATAACAACAGAATAAAAAAAAACCACAAACCCAATCTATTCCATGATCTTCAGTTGTTTCCCAAGGTACTAGAGTTATTGGACACTTGGATTCTGTCAAAATTATGTCAGCGGCTACTGGATCACAGTAGAAATTAAATTCGGCTGTTTCAGTTACATTTCCAACTCCTACGGGCATTAAAGTATAGAATAATATAAATTTCACTTCGCTAATTCTGAGGTTCTTTTGAGTGTGGCTTTTAAGGATCAAAATAAAAGTTTCACTATTTACCTCTGTAATTACCACCCATGCAAACTATAGACTTCAGACGCTTTGTAAATTCTGGATCAATGCGGTGAGTAATAGCCAAGTTTGTAAGTGGAGCTAAAGCGATTAAAGTAATCCGTCCGGGATATTTCTTGGTCAGGTTAATCAAACCGAAACATGCTGAATCTGTCTCTTCTTTTAAATTACCAGAAGAGAATTCTTGCCCACAATCACCGAATCCATCTGATCCGTGAACTACAAACGGTATGTTTGTGTTTAGGAGAGACCCAGCACAACCTTTGTAGACAGGAATCTGAAGGGAACAAAAGGCATATTTTATTACGTTATAACCCCTTTTCTGGTGAATCCATTAAAATTTTGAGATTTTTGAACTAGAGTGCTCAAATTTTGAACTGAAGCTCTGTATCGGATGACAATACAAGTTTTAATTGTTTCCTGATCGTTACGATCGCTTGGTACCATTTTATCAAAATACAATTTATCATAAATCAGGATTTCGAGCCCTTTCTGATTAACTAGAGTGCTCAAATTTCAGTATTGGTTCCAAATGACAAACCAAGCATCAAATGTTTTTTAACTGCAGCAAACAGTACGTATTGCTAATCCAAATAGCTGCCATTTTTTGACATGAACAAATAGACACAAAACTAAAATGAAGAAAATAATATAATAAAAAGTTTACAAAAAATCATATAAGTTTACTAAAATTGAGAAAATAATTATAATTTTATCACACAGAAAATGCCGAACATGAGGTGCATTAGATTTGCATATTAGCAAAGCGCTTTTTATCACTCAAAATTCTCCACTGTATTGTTTGATTAAATAGAAGTGATATTATTATTTTCAAAAACATTGTTTTTAAAAATTCTTTTTCCATTCAACTTTTAATCTTTCAGGAAATATTTTTGAAGAGTATTTGCGCTGAGTATTTTGAGAGTTATTTGCTGGTCATGTGAAAGCTGACATATTCGATATCTGACACATTCGTCATTTTTAAATTAATTTAAAAATGACGAAAGATATATCAAGTTTTAAATTCTTTTAAAATCAATTAAAAAATTTCCGTCTTTTTTAAAATAATTAGTTAGTAATAATATTTAATTATTAAGGCTATTGTAAGAGTTGAATTAAATTATAATATTTGGTGCGTAAAAAAATAAAGTTATTTATGAATTATAATTAATAGATTGAACTATTTGGTATATGTACTAGTAATTGGGTTTGTATATGTATTTGGATATAGTCATGATTAAAAAAAATTAAATGATTGAAATGCCGTGATAAAACAAATTAAGGCCGAAATATATAACAGGGTAATTATAAAATTAAGGGGGATGAGCGATCGTTAAGGAAAGTGGTAGTACAATGCTAATGTGGGATAACAATAACCCAATAGGTTCAAAGGGTCACAAAGTGTGAGGTTTGAACAAATTGGATGATTTGGTATCACCGAATTTGGAAAAAGGGCGAAACTAAAATAAATTAAATATTAAAGATAAATAAGGTAAAGTCATGCTATATCCAAAATATATATATGATTTAATACAGTAAGCTGATGTCTCCAATAAGAAAAGCTAATAAAATCACACTTATGCATGCCCATAACAATAAAAAAAAGTACTCACCACATACAGAAGGAAAAAGGTGATAACTAATAGTTATAAAGGTAAAGCTGAAAAAACAATCACAAAACTTTCTGTTCAACTAAACATTTATTTTTGTAAAACTACTTATTTTGATTATTGCGTAACAAGCAAGCAATATGATTCCAACACATTTTGTGTCACAAAAAAATATCTTTTAAAAGGAAATGGGTGACAAGAGAATTTAAAGAAACCAAGGGCGTCATGCAAAAAGTTAAATAGAAAGGAACGAGTAATTTAACCATTAAAATAAATATGAGAAGAAAACTTAAATTTGAGAGGGCTTTTAATGTTAAAGAAAATTAAAGGTATAAAATGTTGATTTTAAATTTTACGGAAATTTATTACAGCTATGGATTTAATTTAAAATAAAGGTTAAGAAAAAAATGTAAAAAGAAATCCCTCGATACGGACCGAAGTCCGCATCTCGGAGAATTAAGCTAACCTGCCCGAAGGCTCGAGAAAAAAAGAATGTATTTTTAAAAAAGTGACTTAAAAATTCCTTAACTGGTATAGGACCAGAAAAATTACGACCAATTAAATTTAAATAGGCGGAGAGTTTGAAATTTTAAGGAAAGAGATTGGTTAGTTAGCCCCCCTAAAATTAAAAGAAGAAAAAGAAAGGCGTGAATAGAGGGGTTGGTTGACTTTCCCCACAGGAAGTGCGATGACCGCAATGACCATGAGAAAGGTCAACAAGAAAGTTAAAAGTAAAGTTGCTAAATTGAAAAAAAAAGGAATAACGTTTAAAGAAAAATTAAAGGCTTAAGTAAAATTAGAAATTAAAATTGTCACATTACATTAAGTGTATATGTGACAGCTATTTATTTACATGGGTTTATTTTTAAATAAAGGAGTCTATAAAATTGTTTTCAAATTTTTTTGTTACGCCTAAATATTTTCGAAACAAATTATTGTCTATACTAATTAATTAGTATATTTGAAGTCTATCCTTGAATTCTTAGGATTACATATAAATACGAAAAAAAAAAAAAAACCACTTGATTGAAAGTTAAGCTTATATTCTTCTTTTTCATGCTACATAATAATTTAAAAGGATTATTTCAAGATTTAACAGTAATATTTAATAAATGTAAAGTTTATTTTTATTACTTAAAAAATGTGCTTGAGTTCCTAATAAGGTAATAATGAAGTGTTATTAGTAAATATGGATTCTTACCTGTTTTTGGTTACAGGCAACCATAACTTTCATTACATTTTGACACACTTGATGGATGGGTGCATTCCCATAGCAACAAGTGAAGGCGATCACTTGAGATGGGCACTTAATAAGAGCGAGTAATATGGCTATAGCATCATCACTTCCACAATCAGTATCGATGATGAACAAATCATCAGTGTTGACAGAAAATAAATCCATCTGTGTAGCACAAAATTTCATCAAATTAATTTAATTTGCCCATATATGTCTACTAGCAAGTATCTTAAAAATATAAGTTTTAAAGAATTGGTTGCATTGAATTTTTGGAAAAATAAATTTTTCCTAAAATTGTTAAATAAATTGAATTGGTTCTGTAAATTCTGAAGTTTTCACAATTTTGAAAAAACTCCTGAAGATCTATAAGTGGATTTGATAAAATTACCTTCTTATTCACAGTAAATTAATTATATTATAATATTATAACCGTCGTTGAACAGCCGACCCAATTTTATGGATTTACGACTGCTAATGTTCAACTTCGTAGCCTGGTAATTTTGAACCCAATCCAGAAGACAAAGTGAACTTCTGGATCGAGTATTGGGAGAAATGTTACCATATGACGTATTAGATTAAATGATATTGTAAAATTGAAAAAAGAATAATAACACTTGGAGCTAATTTAATTAACTAAGTTATTACTTTATTATTATTTTTAAACTTAATTTTTCAGACAATTTTAGTAAATATCTGTATTGTTGTATAAATTAAGTTTATAAAACTGGCGCATATATCACTTATGGGCAATGGAAGCTCATAACTTAAAATTAAATAAATAAAGTAATCATAAAAAGTCTTAAATAAAGTATCCCTAGTCAACAAGCTAATTATAATGCAAGTCATGAAGTGTCAATTTCATAAAACTTCTTGAATCTGTTTAATATATAGTTATAAAAAATGAAATTACTTATTGATTTCAAATTAAAAATTTTCAACACGTTTTATAGAAATTGGATGGAATTTTACGGTTTTATGTATCACATATGCTCTCCTTTTAAAAAGCCACTAT